CGCACCACATGTGGTACATGTGGTGCGTATGACGAATAAAGAAACGTTGAACCTTGAAAGCCTGAAAAACAACCCGTCATGACCACATTTTAAAAGATTACAAGAAAATCTGACTCCTTAGAAGCAAGGAATTGATGCGGAGTGCAGCGTTTTGGATAAACCGAGAAGTTGTGAATTTTAAAAACTTTGTTTTCTGCAGCCTCATACCCTCTGATGTGTTCATTCAAACACATTTTTGTAAACTTTGTTGTCATAAATGTGAAGATTATTTTCTTGTGGTGACAGCTTCAAGAAGAAACAATATTTCTCACCAAAACTTAATGTCATCAGAACCCTCCTGGCTGCCTGAATGTGTCATTTTCCCACAGCTGTGTGCTTGTGTGACCTGGACTGAAGATTAGATCAGCTGAGCGACTCCCTGACGCTCCAGCTGCAGGACGGGAGGAGGAGGAAGGGGCGATGGTTCCCGTGGGGCTTTGGTGGATGGGTGTCAACAGGGTAGCAGCAGGGGTTGAAGCTGTTTGTGTTTCCTTAAAATAAAAAAAAGGCCTGCCAGTGACACCGGCCTGCTGTGTCAGAGCTCAGCCGAAACACGAGTCAGTTCATGTATAAATCTGCTTCTCTTTTGTTTTTCTGTCTTTACAAGTTAAAACACTGCATCAGGGACAGAACGTGTATTTCAAACCACTTGTCTGTCAGGACGGCACGACAGCCAGACTAACGGGGAACTCCAATACATGTGCTGCAAAACCGGTTCCTGTCAGTTTGGACAGCCTCCCTGAGCTCCAACATGATGATGAATTGCAGGCATTACTCAAGAGTTTTGTTTCGTTCTAAACTTTAAAAGGCAAACATTCTTTTTTGGGAAAACCAACGAGTCATCTTGTGAACTAAAACCAGACAAAGGAAGATAAACTTTTGATGACGTATAGCTGTGCTGTGTCAGCAGGAGTGGTTCTCTAAAATTTAATAGGAAAACACGTCATTTTTCACATTCAGACAATTAAAAACACAAGAAAACGGAGACAAAAGGCAGCAGTAAAGGATGTGGAGACAAAGTGAGCACCAAATGTTAATTTATACCTGTTTGTGTCAGAGCTCTGATTTATGTGAGCTAAGAGAGAAAACTCACTCATAAATGAGTTATTTTTTTAATTTGTCAAAATAAAGCTCGTTTTCTCAAGAAGAACTGGTTCATATGTTCGGTTAAAGCTTTCATTCTTGTGCCGACTCGAGATTATTTCAGAATTAAGCAAAACGGAGCTTAAATCAGAACGAGCAGCTGATTTCAGCAGAAACTCAACACGCTCGTGTTACACGTCTTGTCCATGCGTCAACACCGAATGATGACACTGGGTGTAAGACATTCAAATGAACATGGTCATCATTTTGTTGTCCTGAAGAACACAAGCTTAGTTTTCTCAAGATAAGATTAAACTAGTTAATTTATCTCTGGGTTTAACAACGAGACCTTTCTATATTAGGATGAATTCACTTGTCAAAAATGGAAAGTTTGTAGCACCGCTGTCCCAAATAGCTTAATTAAGACCATCAATGAAATGAACATGAACTTCGTCTGGAGAAACAGACCACACTACCTGAGAAAAGGTCACATGGTCAAAGAATACAGAGATGGTGGTCTGAAAGTAATTGACTTCGAGTGCCTCAATGGAACTCTTAAGATTAATTGGTTGAAATCCTGGATCAAAAATTCTGAATCACTTTGTGTCCCCAGTTATATATTTAACAAAATAGGTGGTCTAAAACTAATACTTCTAGCTGATTTCAATATACATAAATTGCCCATCAAACTATCAGAGTTCCATAAACAAGTGTTATTATACTGGGAAATGCTCTATACGTACATAATTACTCACCACACTCCACTATCATATGGAATAACAGATTCGTACTATATCGCAATAAATCATTATTTTACAAAGATTGGATGGAGAAGAACATTTGGTGTGTTGTGCACTTAATGGACACTAATGGTTACATGTTAAACTGAACAATTCTGTGCAAATTATAAATTCTATCCCCCCAAAAGTTCAATTTACCAGATTAACTTAAAGCATTACCAAAACAGTTTATTAATCAGATTCAAAATATATATCTTCCACAATTACCCACTCTATCTATAAATGGAATTTACTGACAAAAAAAAAAAAAAAAAAAAGAACAACCACACAATTAGAAGCTGTCTAACTGAAACTTTATTCCCTGGGGATATAAATAAAAATAACATACTTTGCAAATTTGAAAAAATCAATTGAAATGTTAAGAACTTTATATTTAAAACACACCATACAACCAAAGGCTAAAGAAACACTACAATTTTAAATGCAGTTTACCCCTCCAAAGAGCTACTAAGAACTCGTTTTAATATTGATGACAATAAATGCTCATTCTGTGAAAAAAGATATAGAAACAATTGACCATATCTTCTATGAATGCAGCAAAACCTAAATATTTTGGAATCCCTTAGAAAGGTGGATCACACTGAACATTATACTTCCTGAATCTATTTCTAGAGACATGGTCACATTTGGAGTATTACTGAAAAACAATAAAAATGGAACTCGGTTGTAATCTGATTAAAATTCTTTATTCATAAACAGAAAGTGCTAAAATCATCCCATGTTTTAAAATCTGATTTATAATTATATTTGAAATCTCTGAAACACATTGCAACACATAAAGACCGGTATGAAATGTTAATGGAAATACCCACTAATGCATGCTCATGCTAAAATATATACCCCCCCACCCCCCCGTAGTTGATATATTTTTTAATGTAATTTAATTTTTATTTAATTTTATCATTCTTTAATCAGTTTTTGCTTTGATGTTCCCATATCTAAATCTGCCTCTATGCCCTTTTTCGATTTACACTATTGTGAATTACAATACTTGTTTGTACTTGTTTTGATAAATAAAGTTTTCTTTAAAAAGTCTCTGGGTTTAACAGTATACTAACAGGTTTATAGAAAATTAACGCATTAATTAACAAAAAGTTCTGTATTATAGCAGGGTAAGTGTTACAAAACACAGAGTGGTTATAGTTGTTTTTATTCCTTTTTTGTTGTTAGACACAAAAAAAAAATGTATCAACCTGTTTCCAAATCTATGCCCAGATTAGTGAGTTAATGGGATGTTGGGTAAAATAGATTTCATGGAAACAACCTGCCGTGCTTCGCTAGAGTTACGAGTTAAGAAGAATGTGGCGTTGACGGTTTGATTGACAGCTTGATGATCGTCCAACCAGTCTGAGAGAGGATCTAAACACGAGAGAGACGTCAAAATCCAGATGTGTCTGGAGCCTACAAACCTTTTTTTTGCCTCCTTTATTAAACCAAACAATCCAGCTCATGAGTAACAAAGTCACTAATATCCGGGTTGTAAAAACAAGCTCAAAGAAGCTGAACAAAACAAACCTGCTACGTTTCAGCTTACATTTCACTGAAGAGGGAGAGGACTGAGTGGGAGGATGAGGAGATGTTGGGCCCCGTCATCTGACAGAGGAGCCTGTTTTGTTGGCCTCTGACACAGGACCAGCACGACTTCTTCTGAAGTAGCAGTTTGCTGCAAGTCTGCGAGTGGAGGGTGGAGGGTCAGGAAGGCAAAAACAGCTGCTGTCCAGTGAGTTGTGGTCATGAGGACGGAGGGAAACTGTCCGCTGTTTGACCTTGTTCACGGGTGGCCAATGGTTCTGCAAAATCACGTCCACTTTCCAAAGATCTGAGGCTGTTTTGGTCCCAGCAGCTCCTCTGCACGTGTCAGGAGAAGAAACACACACGAAATGAAGAATAAAATCTGGAGCAAACAAACGTCCAGAACTTTGTCAACATGTAAAGCTACTAATAATAAATTTATACTTCTAGTAATACTTTTCAAAAGTTTACTAGTTGTGTAGATGCTGATTCAGTATTCCAACAATTTTCAGTCAGGTCATCTGGACAGTTTCTTTTTTTGTGTGTGTGCTGAAATGTTTCACCTTCCATCCAGAAGGCTTCATCAGTCAAGGAAACACACAACACAAAATTAATTCTTCCCACAACAACTTACTCCAAAGTGGAACAAACCAGTTATGTTGGTGCTAAGGTGGTCTCTTTGGCACGCCCCCTCCTCCGGTGCCGGCCCTCTCCCTCGTCGACATTCATGTCAAACTGGTCCAAAACCAACAAAGTCTATGCACAATAATCCAGGTATACAATCCAACAATTTTCAGTCAGGTCATCTGGACAGTTTCTTTGGAAGGTGAAACGTTTCATCACAAAATAATCTATCCAGGTGACCAGACTGAAAATTGTTGGATTGTATACCTGGATTATTGAGCACGGATTTTGTTGGCTGATTCATACTGTTTTCCTTTTTAATGCTTTTGTAATTTTTGCAACTTAACAGTCTGCATACTTTGTTTTAAATTAATCATTCCTATATCAGAACATTCATCTAATTCAGGAAGTTGGTACTACGACTTTTAGTTTTTAATTTTTACACTTTTCAGAATATTTCACTTCATTCACAAATATTTCCTTTAGAAATATATATTTTTTTATTTTTTATTTTTGCTTTATCCTTTTCCTGCTTTCAGGTAGTGTTTTGCTAATCTTAGCATTTCACCTTACCTATCTTTTACTTGTTTTTAGAAAGTGTTTACTTGTGTATGGCTTTTAGCTACTTTTCTCTTTTTTCTTTAGTTTAAACAACTCACTTTCAGATTATTTAACAAAGGCAACCACATTCGTTTGGAAAATGTGATTAGGTATTATAAGTTACAAGCAAAAATCTTTCTATAAAAATTACATTTATATTTATCTTGTCTACCTTTCTTTTGTGTAATTTGGGCTTTCTTCTTTTCTTCTTTATGTTTCTTTTAAATCTATTTTAAATAGTTCAAGATTTTAGCATTTGCATACAAATGTCCCCACGCTCTCTCAGCTGTTGGGAAGTTGTTGCGCTGGTTCGTCCGAACAAGCCTGCTCCTCTGTGCAAACCTCAGACGCCGTGTCCTCTCCAGGGGGACGAGCTGAAGAAAAACCACAATCCTCTGGTTGTAACCTCTTCCAGCCGGTTGTAGTTCCTCCTTCATCACGAAGACCCTGTGAGGATACAGAAAATGCAGAAAAATATTTTAAAAAGAGTTAAATCTGCTTCTGATTTGCGAAACACAAATAATGGTAATGTCAAATGTTCTTATTTTATCAAAATTGGTGGGAATTCCCTTTAGGGACCATTAAAATTTAAATTATCGGTAATTATTAAAACTGTCTGAGAGTCAGGCTTACGTTGCCAGTCCTGGAGCCATGCTTGTTCAGTGAGCTAAAAACAAGTAGGTTCTTAGTGCCTCAAGAAAAACAGATATTATCTGCATTAGCTGATGTTCAAACCAGCATTTAAACTCAAGGATTGTTGTAATGGTATAGGCTAATCTTTTTTAAATACTGGTCGGTATCAGAGGTCGCTTGAATAATGATGAGCAAGTCATTTATTTAACTCAAAAAAAAAAAAGGCTCTCTGTCATAACGTGTCTAAAAGTTTTAAATCTTCCTCATGAAGTTAATTCACCTCGCTGACGTGACTTGTTTGTTGTGATTAGTAAAAGCAAAGGCTCGTTTTAGCTCTGCTTTCTTTGTAATAAAGTTTCAGCCACAATAACGTGTCTCAAATGAAAATGACACAAACCCCACAGCAGATCTGCATCCGCCGGTTTGCTTCATCTGTAATTAATCAGCAACAGTAAATCATTTTAGTTTCACTTCTTATTGGCTGGACTCAGTCGAGTACCACCAAACAACTGAACAGCGATCCAACTGCATCAAATATTTCTTTTGAATGTACAAAACAAACAAAAAAAATAAAATAAAATCAGAAATATAGGTCTTTGGTGCTGCTTTGTCAATAATTGTGCAATCAGGAACCTGTTTAATTAGGTGCAAAAGCCTGACGTCGTGGATGCTTCACTACAAAAGTGGATCTTTTTGGACAATAGCAACTTAAATTATCATCCACACATCTGTGTGTTGCCTAATTTTGTTGAAAACCCCTCTCGTGCTGCTGAGTCAGCTCTGACGAGTCGAGGCAAGGACACAACATGTGGGAATGTCCTGAAATGTCCACCATCACAACTGTAGATCCTGTGGGGCCTGTCGGTTGCAGGATGTTCACGAATCTCACTTGTTTCCGTGCATCCTGAAAATACTGGATCAGAGTTTAAAAGTTGGGCTAAAGTTATTTTTAATAAAAATGTAATACAGTGTCCTGCTGAAAGATGCGTTTGTCAGGAGCTGCGTTGATGAAGGTGGGCTTCATGTTATTTGAATGATACTTTATATTTCAGCTATAAATGATGCACAATCTTCTCATTTTCTCCTGGAACTAATGTTTTCCTTCCAACACCAGTTTTTGTGATAGAGACACACAGTATATGTTGCGTGCTGAAAAATCAAAGACCGGTTCTGCTCGGATCATCTGGGATCCATTCCAGGCCTATTGTTTTTTTTATTGGAAAACACTCAGAACTGTGCGCACTGGCACAAGCTGCACGCCAGCTGTGTCACTGGCCTCTCTTGTCTCCCGGTGTTAATGTTTTGATGAATGGACTGTTGGGCAGAGCCTCGTCTTTTGTTTCACATCTGGACTGAGCAGCTGTGAACGTAAACAAACGAAGAGTCGGAGAGATATTCGACTTGTTATTGAGGTGAACTCACACGCTGCCACTGAGTACAGTATGTACTGATTTGTAGTGCGTAAAGTTTGACACAGAAAAACGGTCTCAAATTAAAAACACTAACCAGATAGCAAATCAACTCAACTTCACTTATGAAACTCGGTTAAAACTTTTTGGTCAACAAGACTTGACCAAAATCTTCTTCTTCTTTTGGCTTTTTTGTCTTCAGGGGTCACCACACTGAGTCATCTTCCTCCATCTCACTCTGGTCTCCTCTGTCTTTTTCCTGGCAGCTGCATTTCCAACATCTTTCTACCAATAAACCCACTGTCCCTCCTCTGGACATGTCCAAACCATCTCAGTCTGGCCTCTTTAACTCTATCTCCCAGTTGTTCAACCTCTGATGATCTCATTCTAATCTTATCCGTCCTTGTCACTCCTAAGGAGAACTTCAACATCTCCGTTTCTGCCACTTCCAGTTCTTTCTACTGTCTTTTTGTCCGTGTCTCTGTCTTCAGACCATACAACATAGCTGGTCTCACAACTGTCTTGTAAACTTTTCCTTTGACCTTTGCTGACACTCTTTTGTCACAAATCACTCCTGAAACTTCTCTCCATCCTCTCCATCCTGCCTGGACTCTCTTTTTCACCTCTTCACCACACTCCCCAGTTTCCTGGACAGTGGACACCAAGTACTTCAAGTTCTGCATTTTTGCAACCTCTGCTCCTTGTAGCCTCACTGTTCCACCGGTGTGTCTTCCTACGGCTGACTTTCATTCATCTTCTTTCAAGTGCATACCTCCACCTCTCCAAGTTCTCTTCCACATGCTCCCTGTTCTCACCACAGATCACAATGTCATCTGCAAACATCATCGTCCACGGGGATTCCTGCCTGACCTCATCTTAGTCGGTCCATCACCAGAGCAAACATGAAGGGGCTCAGATCCGATCCTTGATGCACTCCCACCTCCACCTTGAAGCTATCTGTCACTCTTACAGCACATCTCACCACCAGAGTTGAGAAAATAAATGTTTGAAGCTGTTTTAGGCATCTTCCTTACTAACTAATGTAGAACTGAGAACTTCCAAAAGAACCGATTCAGAAGATTAAGTTCAAATGTGACTAAGAGTTCAGTTATATATTCGGGTGCCAGACCATGCAAAGCTTTGAAACCAAGAGACTGACTGAGTTATACTAAAATAACCTGATGTTGATGAAAGCTGAAAAACTGTCCTTATAGTTTTTGGAAGGAATGGGTTTGAGTTTGGAAATGTTTCTGTTGTAAAACAGTTTTTACCATAGAATTAATCTGTTTAGCTAATTGAAAAAACTGTTATATTTAGGCTACTTTTACACAGGCAAAGTCAGTCAAAACCAATTGTTTTTTAAATGTTTCCCTCATTTGCAACTCTTATTTAATTTTTAATCACATTCTGAACATGACAAAACCCACTTTTCAGTTATTTATTTATTTTAAAAATCTAACCCAAATCTTTTTTATATGTGGTGCTAAACCTCATATGATGCAAATGCTTTTCAAAGCAACTTCAGTCAGTTTGCACTGAGTAATGAGAGCACTAAGTCCAGCAAAGTTTAAATCTCAAAACTCTGTACATTGTCAGCTACAGCTACATCATCCAGTTGCTTTCTTTTTGTTTGTTTAATTTGCCATGTCCTGGATAACTTAGAATCTACAGCAACATATGATACCAACGTTGGTGTTGGACCAAGTCAAAAATGACGTGATGGGATCCATTCTTGAGTTTGTTTCACTTTCAGTACATTGTTCTAGTTCCAGAATTACAATGCTGGATTGGACAAAACATTTATGTTAGATAATTCAGTTGGGTCTGATTGTGAAGTTCAGAATCAAAGCTGATGTGTAGCATGCACATTTACTTCTGTAAACATAGCATGCTGGTGCGACGTCACATCTTTTGCATATGTGGGTCACTTCAGGGCCGTTGACCGTTCACACTGGAGTCTGACGACAGATTATTTTAAATTAAAATGTGAATGACCACACAAAACATCTGATCTGAGCAAAAAATCGGAGACCTGCAGTGTGAACGTAGCCTTAGATAATAAATGTTCTGAGATGCTATGTTTACATAAGTGTTAGAACTACAAATAGCCATTTCTCACTTATTATCCTTTACTTACCATACATGCCATGCAGTATTTCACTTGTAATGAACGTAAAAGATGAGGGGTCATCAGGACTTAAATGGATCTAAATTTGTGTATCATCTGCATAACACTGAATAGTAATATTTACAGAACATATGATCCAAATGAAGCATAAAAAATATGAATGCTGTAGATTTGGCCCCAAGATGGATCTCTGAGGAACTCCACAGCTGACAGGGGCTGTTAAGAGAAATTTCCCATTTCAGCAGAGAAAAAACTACCGGTACCAGATCATACCTTAAATTCTCCTGGACGCATATTAGAAGAATGGAGTGGTCAACCAAAAGCTGCAATGACATCTAACAAAATCAAAACAGCAGAACGTTACATCTGTCTAAAAACAGAAGCGGGTAATTGCATATTTTTTAATAAAGCTGACTCTGTGCTATGATGGGACCTAAAACCTGACTGGCTAGTTAGCATTTCATCCCACATGAGCCCATTCCAGACATGACACATGCAACATTTGCTGTCTCGTTTTGTACCAGCAAATGTCTGCAACTTCTCAAACCTTTAACCACAGTCATAAACTCACTTACACTGAAGACAAGTTTAACTTAGGCATGACAACTAAACAAAGAAACATGCTATAAATTTAGAAGCTAACCAGGTAGCATTGTTGACGGTGCTATGTCCTCATTCACAGAAAGTTGGTTAGTGGATCTCGTCACTACTTGATATCGGAGACACAAGTGTAAACAGTTTACAACTGAAAGGTCAACCATGAGCAGCCTGCTGCGAAGAAGCATAAGCAGTTTGGAGATTCCTTTAATATGGTTGAGTTGCAGTCAAATAGCACTTTTTAAGGACATTTCAATGACTAATTTAAGTATTGTTCAAATCAGTAGTTTGTTCATTACTTACTTAAAATGTATTAAAAGACTAAGTGGCTTTACCTTTTAAACTACAGCATAACTTTGAGCAGAATACTAATGTTGGGATGATAGTGTTTACAATGAATTTAGCTTATTTTCACACTAACATTTGTTGAAATCAATATAACCAATCAGAATGAAGAGATAGGGATTTTATTCTGGTCATAAATGAAGTTTTACACAAAGTTATAGTCATCCTGACTAAGGTGATTCACTAAAAACATAAAACAATAAAAAAAAACTTTTGAATACCTCTGTTTCTCTGAATGGGGATTTAATAGAGCTGTAATAGAAGAAATAAACCTCGCGCGTTATTATAAATCTTATTGCTGCCCTCTCCCCTCATGTCAGACTCAATAAAACGGATGTGGTGAGGTTGGTTGAGTGTGTCTCAACTTCCTACTCAGATGCTGTGGTTGAGTATGGAACAAAATGTACAGCTAAAAACAGCTGTTATCCTCCGAAACTGTCATGGTGACAGCGTGCACGCTCACCAATTACCTCAACTATCAGGAAAAAAAGTGTGTGTTAAATACCAAAGGTTATATTTGGCTACAGGTCATGAAAATGTG